AAGGAGCCATCTTCAGTTGGAGGGAATCGACCAGATTTTTGTAAGATTCTTACCCCTGGGTAACCTATTGCTCTATTTGTTTATATATATGTACTATGCCTAGCCATCTATTCATTTCAGTGAAACCATTTTTCCCCCTTTAAAGCTTATGGGCACAAACTTATGAATTAAGAAAAAAAACAAATCAGATTCTAAAGTCTAAAATGAAAACAGATTTCTTTTGGGATCACTTATATGTGAATGAAGGGAAATTAGTAAGACTGGGAGCAAGTGGAGGTTGGGAGGGATTCCTGGATTGTGATAAAATCCCCAAAGACCTGGGGAAGCCATTTGCTGAGGGGCATGTGGGTGCCCCCCTGGGCACAGGCATTAAGTGTGACAGAGCAAGGAAAGAAACAAAAAGTATACTTTTAGCTCTGTTTTCTTCTAACCTTCCCACTGATTTTTTTCCTTAAAAAAAGTTTTGATTGCTCTTTAAAAGCCAAGTGGCACACATCTCAAAATCAAAAGAAGGTTCGCATGCAGGTTGAAGGGAAGAAAGAAGGAAAAGAGATAAAGGGAATAATATGCATTGGGTGTTATGCTTTCACTTTGGGGGTATGGCCGTGGAATATATAAAAGTATGAAGCTACATTTATGGAAATTATAACCATAGTTACTCATCAGAGACTGTCAAGTTAACTCCCTGTGCGTAAAGTTGGATGGATCTCTTCTGTGGAGAGAGGAAGAGATTATTAATTCTTGTGAAGACTAAAGGATTGGTTTGAGACAGATGATAAAGTTAGTTTAAAGAACAGTGGGGACAAATTTCACTGACAAAAAGCAGACAGTTGTGTGCTTGAATATGGAAGGTTATGTGTGAATGAATTTGACCACCAGATGTGAGGCTCTGCTCCCTTGGCCTAGGCAGATTCACTTCTGCACCACAAATAATCTGTCTCATACTTGTTTTCTCCCAAATTCATTTTACCTCTTTTGGGGAAATTTAGATTAAAGATATGAGTGAGCAAATTGTAAGTGGGGGAGCAGATATTAGATACTGGTGGCCATGGTGTCTACTGGCTGGGATCTGGTTTCTGGATGTCTTAGGGAATCAAGATTACAATAAGTCTGAGCAAAATTTATCTGAGTTCTTACAGAATTAATGTGCAAATTCTGAAAATTAGAAACAAAGATTCTCCTTTACCTCTCCAGACTGGGATGGGAGGCCTTCAACCTCCAACCAGCAAGTGGTTTTGTAGAATGTAAACCTCTTGTGCCTTACTCAGAAGTAGTCTGTGGGCTTGGCTTATATGCTGAGCCTTAAGAAGTGATGCATCTCAGTGAGATTCGGTCACAGGTTTTCTTATCATGTATTTCTTTCACCTGGTGCCTTCTCCCACCAACTAAACTTGTACAAACTAGTCTCTGTAATTCCACTAGACTTTTGCTAGTAAAACTAGAAAAGATTCTCATGCTTTATGAGAACATGGAATTTCAGACTTTAGAGTTAGAAACTCTCTCATTTTATAGATGAACAAACTTAAGCCTAGAGAGGAAAATGAAGTCAATCACTAAGTGTGTGTGTGTGTGTGTGTGTGTGTGTGTGTGTGTGTGTGTGAGGCCGGCACTGTGATTCAAGGTGAATAATATGGGCTCTGCCCTCCTGTAGCTTATACAAACGAGTAGGAAACACTGACAAGTAAACAGGTAATTGTTTGCCCAGAGTACATGGATACAGGCTTAGAAATGGCACCCATGAAAACTGACAATAGGTAAATCTTTATTTGGTGATATCCTTGTGGGCAGATTCTGAGCTTTGTGACTTTTGCTTTGACACTTGTATGTAATGGGGTATCCTTGGTCAGTAACTAAGTATTTGGACAGAGACTCTCGACAAGCCTGCCAGCTCAGATTCCCTTCTGTGAACAACAATAACTCCACAACCTGTACAGCACTGGCGCCTCCTACAAGGACCCACGGTCTCCTCTACAGCATGGAAGACCTTGGCAACAGTTCTCTCCCCCCTGCCACCTAATGACTCTTTCGGCCAGTACCAGCTCTGGTTCTACTTCTGATTTTGAACTCTGGTATTATGACCCCAGGCAGAGAGGTGTTGACTGGGTGACCTCTAAGTTCCTGTTCATCAAGGGAGCTTGTGATTTTACAACTGCCTTTGACATTAGAAGACAATATTTGTCCATCGAAGAGCAAAAGACCTAAATGAATCGAAATCAATAAAACTTTGATGAGGTCTTCTAAAAAAAACAGAAAAAGAAAACACACCCAGAAGACTAAAAAGCACAATGTAAATGTAAAGAGCTTGGCAAGTGGGGAGTGTGACAGGCCAGCAGCTGTGTTGTAGCGGTGGCCATGTGTGAATACTTGTTATTCTTTTAGGGCTGGCTCCTCCCTCTTCAGTCATGTACCACTTTTTTGCTCAAGTCCCAAGAACATGCTTTCACTTGATTTTATTATAAATGATAATCTATGTTCTTAATGGAAATTTTTTCAGCTGCTATTTATTTCAATGTTATGGAGTGACCAAACTTTTTCTTAGTGTATAATTTGATATTCTTCAACAGTGTGCCAAATTTGTCTGTCGCTGTTATGAAACAGACAAGTGGATCAATGCCCAATGATGATGAAAAAGAGTGCTCCCTTTGCTCACACGCTTTCCCCCGTAACCATCAGGACCCTGGATTTCCTGACCTTTCTAGATTCACAGTCATACTCCCAGGCTATTTAGCAACACTACAGGCTTAGTGCTAGAACCGGTGGCATCTTTAAGGGCTATAAAAATATTTGACGTGAAAATAATATTTTATTGACTTATATATAAAAAAAATACAAAATAAAAATTAATAATTGAATGTTTATGAAAGTGTACCATTTATTTTTTTAAATTTAGAGTTTATGTGAATTACATCACACTTAAGAATAACTTGAAGGTCAAATTTTTCTCCCATTGTAAGAATTTCTCATTATGTATGATGATTGCTAAGAAATCATAGCCAATCATTAAGGAAATGAGCCCTAGCCAGTTTTGCTCAGTGGTTAGAGCATCAGCCTGTAGATTGAAGCGTCTCTGGTTTGATTCCAGTCAAGGGCATGTTCCGTTCCAGGTGGGAGCCAACCAATCAGTGTGTCTCTCTCACATTGATATTTCTCTCTCTCTCTTTTCCTCTCCCTCCCTTCACTCCCTCTGAAAATCAATGGGAAAAAAATCCTCAGGTGAGAATTCAAAAATAAAATTAAAAATAAAGTAAATATGAGTTACTCATACAGAAATAATTTCCAAAACAAAATTATAAAAATCAGTTTCAAATTTATAGTGAAAAGCCATTTTTATTATTGGATGTGGGAACGCTCACGTATATTTGATATAATGTGGGGTAGAACTATTGATGGTTTTTAAAGGCTCTGAATGTTCTTTAAAGTTTTCTCCAAAGAACTAAAAATATTGCTAGAAACTACCTGCTGCAAACACCAAATATTTTTAATTTCTCAAATCTTCAAATTCTTAACACATAAAGTTTTAAAAGTTCATAAAAATTTTGTTTTCTATTCTGTTATAATCTATACTTGTTTAATTCTATTTCTAAATATCTATCATTGAGTTGAAATCATACTCCAGGAAGAAGCATTGTAATTGCTCTATGGGCATGTTTGAGTGTCTGTGACACACTGCCCCTGGGAAGTGTGAGTTCTACAGTTTAGACTGAAAGCTCTTCAGATGATGGCAGCAATCCTCTCTTTTTCTTATTCTTCCTTTGAGGAAGATGTTAAGAAATCATTACAGCAAATTGTAAGGACTTTGGCTTGATGAAACGTTCGAGGGAGGTTTTCTTGGTTTGTTTGTTTTTAGCACATAGTATCATCATTTTCCTGTTGTGTAACAGTCTATGTACATTTACAGGGGAAACTAGGAAATATCCCCTGAGAATAATCCACATTGTTCCCAATATGAGAAGCTCCTAAGAATAAGCTTGGATTCCTCTTCCAACAGTCTTCTGTAAAAGTTGACCCCAGACCCACTTCCAAGTATTGCATCGATTCTTCCATGTTCCTCTCTGTGTTTTCTAAATAGTACATAATAATTCCACCTTTGGCCACAAACCAACTAATTCCTGGAGAATTAGGCCTGTCTCCCTTCACCTCAGGGTAAAACTGCTCTCCTCATAGCCAGCTGACTTGCTGGCTTGAATACCTGGAATCCTATCTTCAACAATCCTCTGATTGACCCTTCCCTGGGCTCAGGTTCCTTAAAAGTCCCTCTTCACTCTGGCTGGTGTGGCCTAGTTGGTTGAGCATATCCTATGCACTGAAAGGTCACTGGTTCGATTCCCGGTCAGGTCACATACCCAGGGTCTGGGTTTGATATCCGGTCTGGGTGTGTACAGGAGACAACCGATCAATGTTTCTCTCTCACATCCATGTTTCTTTTTCTCTCTGTCTCTCTCCCTCTCTCCCTCTCCTTTCTCTCTAAAATCAATAAAACATATTTTTTAAAAGTCCCTCTTCGTCATAGGTCTCCTATCCTGCTGTTTCATCTCAGTGAACTGGAGCTCCTATCCTTCCCTATGGGTGATACATCTCCTTTTAGGGAGGCATTTGGTATGTCTTAATGATCTATGTGTTCCAGGACCTAGCACAGTGCCTGGTACCCAGTAGGGGCTTATGTAATGCTTGTTGTTACATTAATTAATAGGTGAATTAAAGAGTATGAATGGATACTGTAATGCTATGACTATTAGAAAGGTAAACATTCAGTGAGTCTTAAGGGACAGGAAAGAATAGTTGGGGCTGGAAGTTGTGTTCAAGAAACTTAGATTCATTTTCCAAAGGAATGGATTGACAAGAAATATGAAATTAATGAGGAAGGGAAAAGAAAAGATGCAATTTAGATGACTAAGGATACCTGACTCATGATGCCCTGTCAGAGACAAAAGTCCCTGTCCTTTTAGCCTAATTTGCCCTTTTAGCCTAATTTGCCCTACCATACCTTTCGCCCTTGGCAGGAGCCTTTGTTGGAAGAGATGATGATGGGCCTGGGTCCCCTGTTGTTGGTCTTCATGCTGGGCCTGGGTCTGACCCCGCCAACCCTGGCTCAGAATGACATCAGGTACAAACACTTCCTGGACCAGCACTATGATCCCACTCCAAGTGGCCGGAATGGCAGATACTGTGATACCACGATGCGGAGACGAGGCCTCACTTCACCCTGCAAAGATGTCAACACCTTTATTCATGAGAGCAGTAACAACATCAAGGCCATCTGTGAAGATGAAAATGGAACACCTTACAAAGGAAATTTCAGAATAAGCAAATCTCATTTCCAGGTCACTACTTGCAAGCTTATAGGAGGGTCCTCCCGGCCTCCCTGTCGGTACAGAGCCACAGAAGGGCCCAGAAACATTGTTGTTGCCTGTGAACAAGGCTTGCCTGTCCACTTTGATGAATCCGTTTACCGTCCATAACCAGCAGGCGCTCCCAGAGTTGGCTCTGCTCTCCATGCCTTGCATTTCCCCTACACACTCCAGAACAGTGGCCACATTCATTGCCAGGGTCCCAGAAAATGAGCTGCCTATATTTTTTGTCTTCTGTTTTATAATATGTTAATAAATAAAAATGTCTCTGAAATCGGTAAGAATCAGTCTTCTCACCAATTTTTGGCCTATTGATTTTTCCCCAGTTTCTCAGTTGAGTAACTGTCCCCCCTGAGGAGATTGGATGGAATACAAATGCCTTTCCCCCTACCAGTTAGTTCCTTCTCAGCCAATAGTGATGTAGACTTCACCTTTCTGTGAATGTAAGGATGTTAAATTCATCTTACATAGAGAGCTGGGAAAATTCCAGGGCTCATGGGTGCTAAGCAGAATTTTCAGGAGGGAAAAATTGTTTTTTTCTGTCAAGCTAATATTACTTTTACAAGTGTTAAACCTTGAGGAGTAATGTTTAGGATTAAATACCAACAGATTAATTAAACTTTCTCTCTATCCATGTCTCTCTCTCTCTCTATCTTTCTCTGCCTCTCTCTCGATATCCCACTCCAACACACACAATTCTGCATGAATACCAAAATTCATTCCTGGTAGCCACTTCTTGTCTTAGGCAGGAGGTAATTTTGAGTTACTTTGACTAGACTGCTCCCATGGCATTCTCATGGTTATTTAATATAAAGATCAAAAAATTTGATTACATTATTTTCTCTTTAATCTTTTACTTTATCAACTGATGTCTGGCAACTGTGAGGTTTTTGGGAATTTGTAGAAAGATTCCAAGCTTATCCCTTATTCTTCTTCAACTAGATTTGTTTTCAGGTAAATACAAACTTAGGTGAATAGACACTCTCTATAAAATATACTAATCAATTCACAGATTTAGTGGTTAACTTCCTGTTACCTAATTTCTATTAAAGTGTGTCTGGATATTTTATTTAGAAAGTAGTTGTTAATAAATTACAGTTGTAAGTCACTGGTTTTGCTGTCTTGTGAATATGGGACTGTAGTGGTCACAGTATTCCCAATGGTGGCCTCTCTTGCTTCCCCCATGGCCCTGAAATGGGCCAAAAGCCCTGCTTCCTCAATACCCAGGTAATAGATAAGTGTCCAGATGCTACCTGGGAGAGCCCAGCCTCACTGAAAGTACTTAAATTTGTGGAGAAAGATACGGAGAAATAGGTTACTGGTGCACACTCAGCACATGAATCTCTCTACCGTGAGTTACTCTATTTCAAAATTGAAATCACTGTCATATCCTAAGGAAGTAGGCAGAAGAGTTTTCCAGACCTCTCTTACTAAAAAATTTGCCTTATTGTAAAATCTCAAAAACCCCTTAGGAAGTGAGAAAGGTCCAGTTTTGGGTAGAATATTTGGACCCTTTTCTCAGGTTCTCTAACCAGTACCATCTCCTTGATATGAGGCAAAGTGACTTCCATGCAGATCATTGACCTACTTAAGGCCTCGATAGGGAAGGTCAAAGGTATGGACCTTTATTATACTGAGTGTGCCATAGCTGTGAAAACACACATCTTCTCCAAACATCTGCTTAGAGTGTCATCACTGCAGGCCCTGCTCTGGTCTTAGGGCAAATGACTGTTTCCTAGGAAATCACACAGCAATGGGACGGGGCAGCTTCCAGACCTGCTGATAGAAATAGCAGCTGGGTACCCAATCTTAGTACTTTTTGCTCTGGGTCTCTTCTCTCACAACCAAAAGCTGCTTAGAATGAAATGTCATGTGACAGGCAAGTCAGTCTTTATCTTAAGAGGATCATTTGGAGGATTGGAGTCCTAGTCAGCTGTGCTCTGTTGGCCTGTCAAGGAAAAGAAAACAAAAACCTCAAAATGCCAAGCCCTTTGAAGAATGGTGACACGCAAGGAAGAAAATTCCACTCAATGTGAAGAAGAAATTTTTCTGTAGGGACACAGCACAAATTCTAGTAGCTGAGATATTTCAACTTAAAAAACAGCCTTCTAATTTTAAAGGAATACAGGTCTCTAGAGGGGAGGGGAGCAATAATATATACAACTTGGTGTAGTTATTTATTATTTTATCCAGATTGAAGGAAGCAAAGAAACCAAGAAAAATGGAAATTGCAAAGATAATTGCCAACATTTACTGAGCAATTACCATGTACCAGACATTGTAATAAGCACTTAACATTGATTTTATCATTTATTCTTCATAGCACCCCTAAGAGGTAGGTACTATTATACTCGTTTATGGAAGAACGCTGAGAGAGGTTAAAAAATTTCTCCAAGATCATATAGTTAATGCAGCAGAGACAGATCTTTGGGATCACAGTATCAAAAGAAGTTCTTATTGAGAAGGCTACACTTTTTTTGTTGTTGTTTTTATTATTACTGATTTCAAGTAGAGGGAGAGAGAGATAGGAACCTCAATGATGAGACAGAAAAGTTCTTATTGAGAATCAATGTGGTAGAGTGGGAAAAGCCTTTGGGGCAAGATCTGACCAAAAAGTATATTTGGGATGATTGGGGATCATTTCATTTTCTGTTGTAGCTAGAGACTTGAGTTACACCCATTGTTGTCTACATTGGACTTCTGTTCACAAATATTTGTTCATGTCTTGTTAAATCAGTTGGTTAGTGTGGCTGAGGCTGTGGGTTTGTTCCTGCATGAATAGTTTAGGTCTTCTCTGTAGCCAATTATCTTTCTAAATCATATCTTGGACACAAAGAAGCAGGATGAGAAAAGGTAGACAGAACCGTGCAAAATTAGAGGTGCAAATTAACCATGCGAGATTAGATTTGGGAAAAATAACCCAAAGTACGTTGTTGTGATGAAGCTATTACCCAAAGTGCTAAGTGTACCTTCAGAAGTTCTATCCATTAGTCTTGCAGTGAAGAGTAAATCAAGCATCATTTCTCCCTACTACTCTTCTTCCCACAACTGTTCACTTCTCTCTCTTCCTAATTCCATATCTCATATCTGCAGCTGTAGGCACTGGAATGTGACCTAGAGCTTTCTTGCTTTCAGTGCACAAGCAAATTTTGCTGGGAATATAGGTGGTAGCATTTAAAAGAATGAAGCTATGTGATACTGGTATGCAGGTCCCTCATTAGCCATTTCAGTCACTCAGACTGTGATCTGCCATCGTGAAGCACCATCTTTGAAAACAAAGGACAGTAGAATCCATATACATCAAACAGGAGATCAGCTGAAGCCAGCCCTTGGACTGCCTATGTGGAAAAGGGCCTGTATGACTCTCAAAAAAAATTGTCCTTTCTGTTTTGGGTTGCTCATTTCCTGTTGAGTCAGAGATGATTTTTCTTTGCTTTAGTGCAGCGATTTTCAACTGGTGTGCTGCAAGAATGTTTAAAACATGCCATACCTGACTATTTAGTCAGGGGCACTGACCTCTTTTCCCTTAAATTGTCAAATTTTAAAATGACAACAGCCAACAACAACAATAGCCGCCTGGTGTGAATGAATCAAAATTATACCTATTTATTTTGTCAGATCAGCAAATAATATATATTTTGGTGTGCCGCAGAATTTTAGTAATTAGTTTATGTGTCATGAGATGAAAAAGGTTGAAAATCGCTGCTCTAGTGTGAGTCAGCCCTGCCTCATTTCCAGGGCAAGTAGATTCACAGTTCATGAGTTCATGCAAATCCCAGAAGTGACGGCCAGATGGCAGCATCTAGCTAGTTAGCGTTGGTGAGTGATTCCCACTTCCACTCCCACCCTGTTCCACCCCTGATGAAACTCTGTTGCTAGAAAGAAGCGATTCTGGACACAAATGTCTTTAATATCCTGAATATTTGGGGAGTGGAGTGAGAGAGGCAGTAGAAAATGTGGAAAAAGCACAGATTTTAGAGTCAGATCGGTCTGGATTCCTTTCTTTACTGGGTCAACAGAAGCAATGTTCTGAAACTATACGGCAATGCTTTCTTTGTTGTGACTCTGGAGATTGTTTGTTTTTTTTTAATTCTGTAAAACATATGTTTATCTTCCACTGCCAAAAGTGCCAACAAAATGATCCTGCAAATAGAGAAGACAGACTACTAACTACCAACAGCTACTGACAAGACAGACAGAGCATCAAGGATAGATGCGGGGTGATGGAATATATCGCAAGGGCCTAGTTTTTAGGTTGTGCATAAAAACAGCAAGGAAAAAAAGACACAGTCCAAGTCCTCTTTTGTGAGATTGTGCTGTTGAGATTTATTTTTTTAATTTCTCTTATCAGTCAATTCCACAAACCTGGGAAACACTTTCATTCTCTATACCCATTTCATTTTATTTATTAGCTTGCTCATTTTGTTTATTAGTTCATTCAACCAATATTTACTACCTTCAAAGCACTTTGGTTAGGTAATTTAGGGTTTTTGTTGTTGTTTTGGTTAATCCTCAAACGAGGATATTTTTCCCATTGGTTTTAGAGAGAGTGGAGGGGGAGAGACAGAAAGAGAGAAACATTGATGTCAGAGATGTTTCTCATCAACTAGTTGCCTCTCCCACATGCCCCGTTGCCCTGACAGGGGCCTAGCCTGCAACTGGTACACATGCCCCTGACCTTTCAGTCTGCAGGCTGATGCTCTAACCACTGAGCCAAATCGGCCAGGTCTGGGTACTCTGTTTTTGACTTTGTTTTCTATAGGAGTAACAAGATTTCCGAAAGGACCTGACTTTAATACCATTAAAAGAATAGCCACATGGGTGAAGAAGGTGAAGGAATTAAGAAGTACAAATTGCCAATTTTAAAAAGTCATATGGATGCCAAGTAAGCATAGGAAATATAGTCAATAACGTTGTAATAACTATGTATGGCGTCAGATGGGTACTAGACTTATTGAGGTGATCACTTCCTAAGGTATATAAATGTCTAATCATCATATTGTACACCTGAAACTGATATAATATTTTATGTCAACTGTAATTTAAAAAAAACTGTAATTTTTAATTTAAAAAAGGAATAGGCACATGAGAGGAAAGGCTAAACCTAAATGTTACTCTTTCCTTTTTTCTGCACCTTCTTCAATTCCCAGATGTCAGAAATTAAAATCAGTTCGTAAACTTTCATTGACATATCCTGAGCCTGCCCAAAATTTTGGGAATCAGAGTCTCCAGGGAACCAAACACTCTCCAAAGATCACATGACTAGAGAATTTCCTCAAGAGACAGACAACTCCAGTTTCATTTAATCTGCCTTTTCTCCCTTTTCACACCCTGATCATACAGGACATATCCACCCGGACATCCACCCGGTCAGTCTCTGACCTGAGTCATTGTACCGGCTACAGCAGTTCTCTCTATAAGAGAGAAAGGCTCTCGCTGTCAGAGATCATGTTTGCAAGCTTTTTACTCTTGGGGAAGCCGTGGTGAGAAAAGTTGTGAGCAGAGAAGAGTGGGGAGGAAAGAGTAGACTAAAGAGTTGGGGAAACATCGGCTTGCCATTCTCAACACCTCTGTGTGGTGCCCATTTGTTACCTTTCTTTGTCCTGCCCCTTGGTTTCTCTCCAGGCACCTCCAAGCTAATGATGGCTCTCCAGAAGGCCCTTTCATTGCTTCTGCTCGTGCTGCTGACCCTGCTGGGGCTGGGGCTGGTGCAGCCCTCCTACGGCCAGAATCGCATGTACCAGCGATTCCTGCAGCAGCATGTGGACCCTGGTGTGACAGGTGGCGATGATAACTACTGCAACTTGATGATGCAAAGACGGAGGATGACTCGGTTTCACTGCAAGCAATTCAACACCTTCATCCACGAGGACATCTGGAACATTCGTAGTATCTGTAGCACCACCAACATCCAGTGCAAGAACGGCAAGATGAACTGCCATGAGGGTGTGGTGAGCGTCACAGACTGCAGGGATATAGGAAGCTCCAGGGCCCCCAACTGCAGATACCGGGCCCGGGCCAGCACTAGGCGTGTTGTCATTGCCTGTGAGGGTAACCCGGCAGTGCCTGTGCACTTTGACAGATAGATGCTACCCTGCAGGGGTTATGGCCCAGTGGTTGACCTTTAACTTACACCTTGAATAGCAATGAGTAATGCATCTGAGCTATCTCAGGCTCTGTCTCCTCTGCTTATGTCTACTCCTTTTTCTTTATATAATCCATTCTGTTAAATGCATCAAAGAGAACTGGAGACATAAACTTATAATGGGACTGGGCTTTCCTGCAATAAACTTTTCAGTAGACTCTGCTGCTTCCTTTTATAATACTGGTCAGCTTAGCTCTCTCAGATCCTATCCTCTGGAAATTAGTCATTACATGTATTTGCATAGCATTTCAAGTATTTCAAGGTGCTTCCATCTCAGTTATCTCACTCTAATACCACAGCGCCCCTGTGATGCTGATATTGTTACACATAGGAGTCCAAAGTTAAGGGATTTGCTGAAGACCATGAAGTTGGTGGAAAAGCTGAAGCAAAAAATTCCCCTCACCTGGCTACTAATCCAGCGCTTTTTCTACTTTATCACAAAGAGTGTTTTTAAAGTATCGGCTTTTTGATATTCCCAAAAGTCAGCTGTGGGGGGAAGCATTAAAAATTTGGAAATATTGCCCTAGCAGGTTTGGCACAGTGGTTAGAGTGTCGGCCCACCGGCTGAAGGGTCTGGAGTTCGATTCCGGTCGAGGGCATGCACCTCAGTTGCAGGCTCGATCCCTGGGCCCAGTCAGGGCATGTGTGGGAGACCAGCAATCAATGTTTCTGTCTCTATCTCTCCCTCCCTTCCACTCTCTCTGAAAAGCAATGAAAAAATATTCTCGGGTGAAGATAAAAACAAAACAAAGAATTTGGAAATACATACTGGCAAAATGAGAGCTCTGTACGTATAATTTGGCAACCTTGTCATGTTTGGGTCTAATAAAATTAAGAAATGATACAAGGGATTTTCTTTTTCTCTTCCCAAACTTTTGAATCACTGTGGTAAGTCGGAGTATTAACAATGTACTAGATCATTAGTACTCATTCACTCTTCCTGACTGAAAGATTTTTCATGTTCTCCTTGTAATAAAGAACTCAGACAACAGGGATCTGTGAAGACAGTGCTATGATTCTTGTGTGGGGGATTTTTTTCTTCTACCCTCTTTTAATTCTCTAGTTTACAAACATGCACCAACACCTTTAATACCCTCATGACTAAAGCCTAGCGCATCAACAACCACGGCACAGAAACATTTGTTGTTTACTAAAGACAATTCTCACACACCTCCCTTCTCCTTTTGAATATTTTGAAACAAATTGGAGAACAGAGATGTATGAAGACACCAGCAGTTAAAGAAGGCAAGTATGTATGTGAGTGTTGTGTGTGTGTGTGCGTGTGTGTGTGTGTATGAAAGGACTAAACCAAAAACGTTTGAATTATGGCATATATACATTGTTTATATTTCAGGTGTGCAACCTGATTCAGTATACATATGCATTGTAAAGTCACTAGATCAAGCTAATTAATGTATCTGTTACTTCACATGGTTACCAGAAGTGACTCCATTTTGGGCTGTTTTCGACTCCCTTCTTTTTAGCACTACTGAACATTATAGCTTAGCTCAGCCAGTTTCTACTGAATGCACACTGCTTTCACACCATTGTAAAGTCAAAAACTCATAAGCATGAAAAATCATAAGTAAGCCTTAGCCTGTTTCGCTCCATGGTTAGAGCATCGACTCACGGACCAAAGGTCTTGAGTTCGATTTCAGTCAAGGGCACAAACCTCTGTTGCAGGCTTGATTCCCGGCCCAGTCGGGGTGCTTGCAGGAGGCAACCCATTGATTTTCTGTCTCTCTCCCTAACACTTCCACTCTCTCTGAAACGCAATGGAAAGAACATTCTCAGGTGAGGATTTAAAAACAAAACAAAACATAAGTAAAATTGTGAGTCACTTTTGCTAAGCCATGTCATCACACTAAAACATAATAACTAACCAAATTTCAGTTTCAGCTTCCTCGGAGGTAGAACATTAAACCAATCAATCTGGAATTTCCAGATCAGCACTTGTGAGGTAATCTGCTTGATAAGACCCCTTGCCTTCCCCTAAATGAAGGTGTCCTGGCTTAAAATAATCCACTCTTTTAACTTAGTCCCATCCTCTTTCTGCCTATAAAAACTTTCCATTTTGTACAACTCACTGAAACACCCTTCTAGTTGGCTAGGTGGAATGCTGCCCAATTCCCGATTGCTTAATAAAGCCAACTTCAAATTTACTCCATTGAATTTTGTTCTTTAACGCCTGCCCCCAACCTTGCCATCCCTTTGTACCCGGAAGACTGTCTTTGATGTGATACCTCTGCCCCAGGGTATTCTCAGAGTGAGCCCAAGTGTTCTAGATGAGGAGATAGAGAAACAGGTTCACTTGGTAAGGCTGTCCCCTCTTCACCCCCACCCCCACTGCCAATCGGCTGGAACACTGCGCCTCCCACATATATGCCTTTCTGCACTGCCGCAGACTTCTTGGCTCTAAGAAAAGGGAAAGGACACTGACTCTCCACTCTTTAGATTCACATACTGACCCCCACTACAACCAGTGAACGTAAGTATTGAATCTGAATAGGGCAAGTTAGAGTTTAGAAGGGTTGCTGCTGAGGATGGTTGGGGGGAAAGGCCCAGAAACACTGAAGGGGCTTGACTGAACTTATAAATAGGAGAGTTGAGAATGCAAAGTGATCCATCTTGTGAGAAGCAAAGACCTGAATTTAACTCAGCACTAATCTCAATGACTCGCACTTCCTTTCCTCCCCAATATTTTCAAGCATAAGCCATTGAAGCAGCTTGGATCCTGGTCTTCTCATCTTGTTTAGGCAATTTGAGCTGGAAATAGGGTGCCACAAACGAGAACGTGTCTATCCCTTGTTTTGTGCCTGATGTAACACTTGAGACCCTCAAAAGTGCTCTCACGCAAATCTTATTGGACTCTCATGGGTATGTAAGGGAGCTATTATTAGGCTCGTTTGAGGACACCTTCTGAGATAGTTGAAAATCGGGTTAGAGTTTCTGTAGGGCCAGGTAACTCCTCATGGTTACTGAGGACAGAGAGCTGGTTTAAAGGGGAGACTTTTTCAAACATCTCTAGGCCCTGGTTTTGACCAGAGCAGCTCCTGTGAGGGCAGTTTCAATCGTGGTACTTGGTCGGTTAGAGCAATATTTCAAAACTGGATTTCCTTTATGATGGCATTCTTAATGGCAAATCAAGGTCCTTCATCATGATGATAACTAGGGAAATGGCCTCTGAGAAGGGAAGTAGGTAGTCAGAAGTGATAACAGGTTTCACACAAGCATTGGGGAAGTGTTACAAGGAAGTCAAGGATTACATAAGAACCATCTACAGAGTCAGTATCAAGCTGAGATTCCAGGAAGCCAAAGCCTTCCTGCTTGGAAAATGCCTCCCAAGTCTACTCATCTTCTACATTCCCATAAAAGGTGACAACCCTTTCTACTTCACAGACATAAAACTTAAAATACCATTCTCTTTCAGACACATTCTCTTATGAGAATCCATTTGGACTGTAAAACAGAGCTAGCTACAGCTCTCCTTGGTTTGGGTGAAAGAGAAGACAGAAAGGAGGTGTTTGGAATTCTCAAAATAAGCTTTATCTATTTTCTACAATTTTGTGATTGCCCCACTCAGGTTCTAGCAGATTTTCAGTTCTTACAAATTTTACTATCTAATAAGACTTATCATCTTCTAGTCTGGAAACAAATGATAAAATTGGGCCTAAGTGTCTACATTGGCAGGGAGAAGAATTTTAAGGTGGAGCTCAGGTGTTAGGGCAGTGTTGCAATAATGCTTTCCTCTCTCTTCCATGTATACCCACAGGTGAGCCTGGTGACTGAGATGTCATCCTCTCTAAAGGTCCTAGGTCCTCTCTTGTTCCTGCTGTTCCCCTTATGTGGGCTCCTTATACACAGCCAGAACCTTTCCTGGAGAGAATTCATGAAACAGCACCACCTGAGCACAAGCTGGACATTCAGTGAGTACAGATGCAATGATCTCATGCAAAAAAGAGAAGCTCTAAGAGACAAGAACTCTCACATCTTCATCTATACCTTCTGGTACAAAATCGAGCATATATGCATCAGGAACTGGAGAGATCGCTACAGAAATGTATACATATGGGCCCAGTATCCCTTCAGAATACTCAAGTGCTACCTGGGGAATAACAAAAAGAGCTACAGAGAGCACAGGAGCTACAGCTACATTGAATTCCACTGCAGCATGAATGGCTTTGTCGATAGCATAGAGGACACCCGGTTGTTAGAGGTTATTAGCAACTAGAAAGCCTACCACAACTCCAGGTTTTAGTAGAGTTGTTAGTGCTTCCCAAGTGGTGGGCTCTGCCCACATCAATAGCCCTTGCTAATCCCTACTTTGCATTTATGTGCCAATGTTTTCCAACTACTTAGAGTTATGTATCACATGGTTTCTTGATATCATAACTTCACCTATGTTGGTTTTCTGCCTGGAATATCTTCTGTCTTCATCTACCTGTTTTATTCCTATGTTTTTTGGCATTTTTTTAAGATTCAGTTCACATGGCATCTTTTTGGGTAACCTGGGAACTTTCCTGATATTGGCTCCTTATACCCAACCAAGGTGAATGATCTTCCCTTCCCTAAATAAATTATATCATCCCACTGTGTGTGACATTTATATATGTTATATGTGCAGAGTATGTGTGGTGATTGGTATATTGTTAGGGGTGTGTGTGTGTGATATGGATTATGCTTAGATGTGATTTATGCTGTGTGTAGATTTAAGGTGTTATATATGTGTAATATGCTTATGTGTATGATGAGAATGTAAGTAAATGTTTATGTGCTATGCTGGGGAAAAGTTGTGACCTAGGCATTGACTGAGTTGACATGCTGAATTTCACTCAGATTGGGGCGTGAGGACAGAGCTGAATGAGCATAACATGTAGTATGGTCCTGGCTCATAGTATGTGCTCAGTCAACATTGGTGTTCCTCCTTTCCCATCCTTCGGCTTGATACTTTAATTTTGACTTTGATAAAACCAACATCACAAGTGCCCATCAAACATCTCCTCTCCCAGGCTTTGGAAGATGGAGGTTTCTAATATAAGAATACAGTAGGCTGTCATCTGTATGAAAGCTATAAATTCTCAGGATTATAAAGAACTTGCTCCATAAGCTATAGAATGACAAAGGTTCTTATTGGACTCATTTGTTAAGCATATCTCTAAGGAGGCTAATACATTTTAGCTGAGTTAAGGCATTATGTTGCCTGAGGAATAATACAATATATAGAAGCTATTAGCACAATTGAATTTATCTGATAATAATCATTTTCACTTGGCAGAGAAATAGGGTGGGGCTGGAGGACTTTAAAATGCAACTCTTCTCAAGAATGAGGTTCGAGGTTTAAGTTTTGTTGGAGGGAGGGGGAAGTAAATTGGAGGATGAGATGTTGAGGACACCAGCATGTAGAGCCTGCTAGAATTCTGTGATACAGAGTAAGAGAACTAGCCGCTCCATATAATTTTGCCTAAGGCAGGTATGGGGAGAAGAGATTCCAAGCATCAAAGTACAGTACCTTGTGTCCTTCAGCCTCCTATATTGCTGAATGACTCCAGCCTTGAAACAGAGAAAAGGCCACGGTATTAACATCTTCAATTAGGTGACTGCTCACCTACCTAGAACTCAGGCCTCAGTGAGTAGTCAATGAATGTAGCTTGGTCATCGTGTTTCAAGGGCAGCTCCTCAGCTTTGCAGTTTTTCGGTGCACCTGGGGATGAGCAGACACCTGGAAGATGATGACCTATATCAACCGAACTCACAAGAGATTAGTGTTAACCCAGCAGTTCTTCATCAATGATCAATTTACATATGGAGAATACTGTTTTTCTCACTCAATAAATGCTGTTTCAAAATGTGGTGGCAGCCCAGCCAGGCGTGGCTCAGTGGTTGAACATCAACCTAGGATCCAGGAGACAGCAGTTCGATTCCCAATCAATGACTCTTTCATCATCGATGTTTTTATCTCTCTCTCCCTCTCCCTTCCTCTCCCTGAAATCAATAAAGATAGGAGGAAAATGGATTTAAGTGTATTCAGTATAAATAGTGTGTGTTGTTGTTGCTTGAGCTTAAGCTCATATCCACTTACCCCCATTTGGTAGCTGCATATTCACTTCCCTTAGGGAACATCCTTTCCCTTTCCATGTGCAGTTTGTTGAGGCTGTCCATCAAGGTTCCCAATCTCCTCTATAGATCCAAGTGATGGCCATGAGAGTCAAGCTAAGCTAATTGGACACTCCTATAGAAGACCAGAATATACCACCCTAAAGTATGCCTCTTTCGCTTAAGAATTATTTTGAGAAACAGCAGACAAAGGAGAAGCTCTGAAAGCAGAGTATAAGTTACCCTTTTGTGGATGAAAAAAAGGGGTTCTATGGAGAATAACCTCATAGGGTGAGGTGATCATAAATTCCTAACTGGGCAGGTCATGGTGGGTTGTCAGCCCCAGGCATTAACTTTTTAGTTAATAAAAAGTCACTTAAGATTTCTACATCTATCTACTCCTATCCCTGTCTCTGTCTCCATCTCTTTCTTTCTATCAGTTGAATGCACATATGCACACACTAAGAGAAGGCCATGTGAGAATATAAGGCAGTTGTCTGCAAACCAGGAAGAGGGCCCTCCCTAGACACCAAATCTGTCAGCACCTTGATCTTATACTTTCCAGTCTCCAGACTGTATTAAATAAATGTTGTTGTTTAAGCCAAAAAAAAAGTCACTTAAGTAAGCCCTGTCCATTTTGTGCGTGTGTGTATGTGTGTGTGTGTGTACATCTACCTTTGAAATAAGCAGTAACCACCCTCAAGAGGGCACATAATCTTGTTAACTATCCTGTAATCCAATCCCTGCCTTGTTTTCTCCCACTTCTTCCTTACTTTCCTTCCTTAATTTCCAATGCATAAAGGAGGCTGTTATTCTCCAGATATTTGAGATCTTCCTCCCCTGGCATATGTTGTCAGTTTGGCTCAAATAAACTCTTATAAAAATTCTCCACAGGTTTGGATGTTTCTTATGTAGACACTTTTGTAGAGTAAATTTAGTTATAAAAAATAAAAAAATAAAAATCTCTATTTGTAAGGGTGTTTCCCTCTCTGTACCAGGAAGAAAAAAATGACTCAAGTCACAAGAAATTGGGGGGTGGGGAGCTAGTGGGGGATGGAGGGGGCCTATGGGGCAAAAAAAGGAGACGTGCAATACTTTCAACAGTAAAGATAAATTTTAAAAAGAGAGAATGCAAAGAGTTATATCTGCATAAAAAACCTCTCCCTTGTTTACTGTGCTTTTTTTCCTGGTTACTGTTCTGTAACTTGCCTCTCCCACACTCTTCTTCCTGTTTTAGCTGAAGATGGTATGTAAGCCCATGAATACTCATCTCTGAGTTTTTCATTCATGCTAATAACTTGTTTTTCTCTTGTTAATCTGCCTTTTGTTACAGAGGCTTTGGCTGAGAACCTAGGAGGATAAATGAAAAAGATTTTCTCTCACCTACACTGTCCTCAGAGTCTGAATGTTAAGTAGTGATGCAGGGTTAAAAAAAAACATTTGAAGTGGGCTTTTGACCATTAGTCCTTGGTCTCCTGCTCACCTAAGCTTATTGGGTTCCAGCTGCTTTTATTGGGTAGAAGGACAAAGATTACATAGGAAAGTAGGAAATAGGAATTACAGGCATGGGGACTCCATTGCTTTGGCAACAAGGTTGTTGATCTTTCCATGAAGATAGGCAGTTCTCAGAAAAGGAGACTAGATCACATTCCAAGGGTACAACTCTCAACCAGGTTAGAATGTGTTTTGCCTAATCAGAACAAAACAACCATGGTTAACAGAACATCATTAATATTTCTGCCCCTAACAGCTTGACCAGAAAATTTCATACTGGTTAAGATTTATGTTCATGGGAGAAGTTGAAATCGCAATTAGATCAGGTATGAAACCTATGTTTGGTATTGTTAAAAAACAAAACAATGCAAAAAACCCATAGGCCTAAAATGGCGTCATTTGTGCTAAAAACCTATGATATCAAACCTAGATTCTTCCTATGAACTGTAGGGAAAGACAAAGTTTTCTTTGACTGTCTTTGGGTCCCTGGCTGGTTCTAAAAATTAAACTGACAAAGACAGATCAATAGGGAAAAAGTGTACAAATTTTATTAAATTTTAATTTGTAGATGGGAGCCTTCATGAGAGAATAAAGGTACAAAGAAGTAACCAGATCTAGAACCTTTTATACCTTTTAGAAAAAAATTAATTAAATTTGTGAAGAATTGACAAACAAAAAAAAAGGAGAGAGAGAGAGAGAGATTTAGTCTATGGGTAGCAAATGGTAAAGATAAGGGTTAGTTTGGAGATTACTCTGGTATCCTCTCTGGGCTTATTAAGAGCCTATCTTCAGTAAAAGAATTTATTTCCTGCCTTTAGGTTGAAAGGGAGGGGGATTGGGGAGCTTTTTAAGCATTTACTGATTTTTAATTGCCTTCAGCACAAAGTAATTTTTATGTCAAAGAGCCGTATTTTGGGGTGGCATACTCTGGTTTCCTTCAGCATGAACATAAAATATCTCTCCATTTATTTCGATCTATTTTGATTTCTTCTATCAGAGTGTTATAGCTTTCCTCATAGTGATCTTGTACATATTTTATTAGATTTATACCTAAGTATTTCATTTTTCTTTGGTGCTAATATAAGTGTCTGTGGGAGTTTTTTTTATTTCAAATCCCAGTTGTTCACTGTTGTTATATAAGAAAGCAATTGATTTTGGTATATTAACTTTGTCTCCTGCAACTTTGTTATAAACAGACATCATTTTTTATCCTGTAGATAATCGGAGCCATTAAAAACATTAGGCAAGAGTGTTCCGCTATTATATTTATACTGAAAGAACTAATCTGCAAGTCATATGTAGAATGGGTTGGAAGGAAAAGAGGCCACAGGTAGGGAGTCCATGTAGGAGGCTTTCTTGTGAGCCCTCCATGAGACAATGAAATTCTGAGTAAAGGTATTACAGCACCAATGGAAAGGTAAGGATAGATCCAATAGGCAAATACCCCCAATTTTCCCTTCTTCTTCACGCATATGGGTCTCTTCACACAGGCTTTCCTTCTGGGGATGCCCTTACCATCCCCTTCACATAACTTCTAATTCATTATCAAAGCTCCGTTCAGGTGTTGTGCCCTCCAATGATCCCTTCTCTCTACTATCTCCTCACACTCCCCTGTTGTTTCCTCCCTCAGAGCTATAAGTGCTATTTATATTTATTAATGTATAATGAATTTGTCTGTTTACCTGTCTCTTTCATTAGATCATGAGCTTCTGAATCTGAGTAGCTCAGTATCTGGTCTAATAAATGTACACATAAATGAATAATTTATTCAATTCTGTTGTTGGAACTTACAGCATTACCAAGTATATAGCAGCTAGTATATCAGATTCACTTGGTATATTTTCTCTTAAGAAACTGAAATCATAGAGCTTCAAAACACTGAAGCTTCAGTTCAGGAAGGAAGCACTCAACCCACATCCGGAAGTGATCAGTTCCTTAAAACTGAGTTTGGGGTCACACTGTTCCTTTAAGTAAGCCTGGGGAAGAAACAGCCTACAAAAGCCTCTGCGCCTGGGACTCGCTACTGCTTCTGTTTCCAGCGGCAGCCCCAGCGTGGAAACCTGGTAAGAGCAGCCTCAGGGCTGGGGAGACTAGACCAGTGAAGTTGGCTGGGAGGTCCAGGTCAAACAGATGTAGGATAAATATTTCAGGAGGGAAGAGGGAAGAGACAAGGTTTCTGACATGGGGGCCATCAAACGCATGAGCACAGTACAAAGAGAAGAGTCAGATCTGCCAATGAGAGGAAAGGCCCTCTCACTTCATATTCCTCCTCCCTGGGCTTCAGGTTTATCACAGAATTGTAAGACTCGAGTGAGAAAGAAGATGGTTAGAAGGAAAAAAAAGAGCTGTGAAATCTTAAAAGGCACAATAAAAATCTAAACGGTTATAAATAATAATTTTGCTCTTATTGCTTATACTACTACTGTTATCTTCCCTCTTCCTACACAGGAAAGATGGTGCTAGATCTTCAACACTTTCCTCTCATCTTATTGCTGCTGGGACTGTGGGGACCAGTGTGTCCACTTTATGCTTTGCCTAAGAATCTCACCAAGGCTGGCTGGTTTCAAATTCAGCATATACGGCAGAGTCCTCTCCAATGCAACAACGCAATGCGTGGTGTTAATAGTTATACTCAGCACTGTAAACCTCAAAACACCTTTCTGCATGAGTCCTTCCAGAATGTGGCTGCTGCCTGTAAGTTGCCCAACATTGTCTGCAAGAATGGCCGGAATAATTGCCACCAGAGCTCAAAGCCTGTTTACGTGACTAACTGCAATCTCACTGCAGGGAAGTATCCTAACTGCAGCTACAAAGATGTTGCCGCGAACAAGTTCTTCGTTATTGCCTGTGACCCGCCTCAGAAGACAGACCCTCCCTACCCCTTGGTTCCTGTACACTTAGATAAGATTATTTAAAGTTTTCATCACTTTTCCTCTCACTTGATACAGGTTCCCCTCATGATCTCTTCTGCCTTTTCTTTTGATCTCCCTGGTTTGTGTAGAAGAAAAAAGGAAGATACTGGGAGAATTAGAGTGTCAAGGACACCAGAACAGAGTTGGGACTAAAAGAAATAGGACTCTTTTCTGCTTTGGAGCTGTGTGTGTTTCACAGGAAGACAATAAGGAGGGGAGCAAAGAAGGGTCCAGACCTCCATATTTTTAACCTTAGAACTTGTGCCAAGCTTTGTTGCACTGCATTAACAGCAATAAAACCACTTTCTGCCCGGCCGAGCGTGGCTCAGCGGTTGAGCATCGACCTGGGATCCAGGTGATAGGGTTCGATTCCCGGTCGGGACATGTGCCNTATTCCTGGTCGGGACATGTGCCCGGGTTGCGGGCTCGATCAATGACTCTCTCATCANAGGGTTCGATTCCCGGTCGGGACATGTGCCCGGGTTGCGGGCTCGATCAATGACTCTCTCATCATTGATGTTTCTGTCTCTCTCTCTCCCTCTCCTTTCCTCTCTCTGAAATCAATAAAGATATATTTTTTAAAAAAAACAAAAACAAACACACTTCTGCTGCATTCTAATGAGTGTGAGTCTGAGTGTTTGAGAACCCTTTTGTTACCAGAAGAGGATTGCCACCAAAGAGGGTGTGCCCGGCATGGCTTGGAAATAGGAACTTCTGTGGTACCATGGGAAAGAATTTCAGGGACACTCATGTAGGAGAAGTTTGGCGATAGTGGCAAGATTTATTCGAGTGGAAAGTGACAAGTGTCAATACGCTCTCAGAGAGGCAGCGAGAGCAGGCAGGCTATAGGGTAGTGGCTGCCTGGACGTGACAGAGGCAAAAGGAGAGTCCTCTGCTGTTGTTCGCTACTCCCCTGGTTGCAAGTCCCCGGGGACCCTCAGAGTTTAGGAGAAAAGAAGGGAAAAACTATGTGCCCGAGAGAAGGAAGGGCGCAAGCATGCTCCAAGGATGAGCACTGTGTTCTTCGTCTAGTTTCCATATGTTCTCGGGTTCAGGAAAGGGTAGGCTTTCTTTCAGACGACCCAATCTCTTCCCGGGCTTTCCCCAGAACTGTGTTTGTGCCCTCCCCCACCCATTGCCTCTTTTGGATTCTCCAGGGCCTGTGCCCTTCCCCAATCCGATCCTTTTCCCCGACTGTCCCAGGCTGGTGCCCTTCCCCTTGTATGGTTGCCATTTTGGCTCCTGCTGTGCATGCCTCACAATCCTGCTTCATCACTTGGCTTCTATTTCATATACACTATGTGAAAAGAATTCCCCCTTGCTGTTCTCACTCCCTCCCCCCTGTTAATCCGGCAAAACAATGCCAGTTACCCTTTGAGGTGACTGTAAAGCTTTTTCCTGCCTAGTCAACTAGGCACTAAGTTTTGCTCCGTTTGGCTGACCGTGCCAATTACTGCCATTTCTGTTCCATTCCTTCCTCTTTTGTTGTTATCTAACTAACTGCTGCTCTAATACTTTCACACCATTGCCAGCCTAGAGACAGCTAGGTTTGCATTTGCCAGGTTTCCAAGGAGAACAATTTTGGCCCTGGGTATAGGAAAGGACAATCATTTTTCTCTGTTCTTCTAGGTTCTTGGCTGAGAATGCTCTGTAATAAAAAGACAGATTAATAAGAGAAAACAATTTTAATTACATAGGTACATATGGGAGCCCCACAAAAGTAGGGAACTCAAAAGGTGGCAGAAGATTGAGCCTTATATACTATCCTGAGCTAAGAAACTGGTTAGGGGTCTGTGACTTCAAAGAGGTGGAAGATAATTCACAGGAAGGTGAAGAGAGTAAATGTTTGGGAAACAAAGGTTGCCTTGCCAAGTAGAAAAGTCTCCCAGATGAAAAAGTGATCTCTGGTAATAGCTTTCTTCCTGGTACAGGCCCCTTTCTAATGTAAATTTCCCTTATAAAAGGGTAACTCTTCTGTTTTCAGAACTTCTTCAGTGTCTGCAGTTCCTCAAAATAACTTTTATGCCAAAGAGGCATTATTTTGGGATGGCATATTCTGCTCCTTTTCACAGGTCACTCTCACAGAGAGAATTTCAGTTTCTCTGTCAACCTTTAGAGTTATTGGCCAATAGCCTCTATGGCTAGAAGGTCAATATAAGTCAAAGTGCTTTGTAGAGTGGTCAGTCTTTGAGTCGTGCCCGAAGACAATGCATATTGGAAAGGCCAAATATTGAAATAGTTAAAGTCTGTCAGTTACCAGTGGTACAGAATGGTTCTTTCCAAACCAGACTATTCCTTTAATAGGTGTCCTAATTGGGCTCACCTTTCTTTATGCCACACATTTGTGTCATGTCTTAAAAACAAAGAATGAAATGTGACATTTTAGGTTTCAGGTGCCTGGATTCCAAAGTTGATTGATGTTCAAGGGCTCTCCCACTGGGAAGAAAAAAGCAGGCCAGGGCAACTTGACACCTGAGAAGGTGGGTACCCGGTAGGGATGATACCAGAGAAGAATGTGGGTTGTCTCCCTTGGTTGTTGCCTGGGGGTAGAGTCCTTGTGATATCCTGAGAAAAAGAATTTTCTGAGACTCCTACAGGACAACCAGTGCTCTTTATTTTGGTGGAATTATATCATTTGATTTTCAAAGTCCCATTTCCCTTAGTCCTTCCATAGAAGAGGTAAAGATGGGGTTTCTTTAGAGCTAAATTCAGAGCCAGTGTTCAGAGTGTCCTTTCCACATTAGAACCAGTCCAGTACAGCATCAGGCTAGCTGCAATCCATTCGTGTATTGTGTGTGGGGTCTGCATGGCTGTGGGCCACATGGGAGGATGCCAGGAAGCCAAGCATGAGCCATGAGCCAAGCTTGCCAAGAGGAACCAAGAGAATGAACTTCTTTATTTAGGGGATTATATATCCAAATCTTCATGCCCTTGCAGTGACCATGCCCATTCTGGCCAATGACCTCTGTTCCCAGGTGTGACTGAGGGACAAATATCTTCCCTTTGTCATCCCGACTTTACTGGGCATTCATTTATCTTCCTTAGGTTGTTCCCTCCCCCACTGTTTGCAAGGAATATGCTTAGTTATTATACCAATGTGAGAGCTCTCTAAAATTTTTTATTTAAAGGGTTTTCAATTCAAAACATCAACCATTGCCTGGCTGGTGTGGCTCAGTGGTTGAGCACCACCCTATGATCCAGAAGATCGAGGTTCCAGTCCCCATCAGGGCACATGCCTGAGTTGTAGGTTTGATCCTCAGTGAGGGGCAGGCAGGAGGCAGTCAATCAATGACTCTCTCATCATTGATGTTTCTATCTATCTCTCTCTCCCTCTCCTTTCCTGTCTCTGAAATCAATAAGGACATATTTAAAAACAAAAAACAAAAAACATCAATGGTCTAGTCAGTGACAGTAGGATTTTAATGGGGACCCTAACAATAAGCCTTTTACAGCTTAACCAAGAAAGCCTTACACAAAGAGAGTGCAAAAGATGCAGCTCTCATAAATACAAAAGTTCACTCTCAAAGAAAGTCAGAGAAAGCATAGACCTTCATTACACAGGTGGTCAGAATGACAGAGTGCATATGGTGTCTCCAGTCTCCCACAAAATGTGAGCTACCTCCAGCCACAAACCCGCTGATTTGTGGAATGGAATTATTCCAGCACTAACAAGTAACAAAGGCTTTAGGTGACAAATACCCCCTTATGGACTGGGGCCCCTTTTGACAAACTCCCCTGAGAGGTGACATAGCCAGACAGAGAGACACTTGGCAGTCTATTTGACTGCCACTGGGTACAGTACAGTAAGTGTATCTTCCTGATGGTGGAGACCAAAGAAAATATTTTCACTGGTCACAAATCAACCTCTTAGGGCATAGAATAAGATGGATTAAAAAAACCTCATTTAATTTTTATGTAAAGACTCACAGCAACGTTTATCTGGACAGACACTGGTTTGGAGAGAACCACTTACCTCCCCAGCCTGTGAGGCCAGCTCAAACAACAGGCTTATAAGGATTCTACATCTGTGTTCTATGCTTATACTATTTCCCTTTTATGACAAAATGACATAAAAGACAGAGACACAGAAAAACAAAATAGTCATCTCTGGGAGGAAAGGATCAATAACAAAATTGAATTCAATTAAAAACCCCCAAGAATCACTAAGCTCAAGAAGCTAGCTTCACAAATATTTTCCCCCGCTAGTCTAAATTTAGAAGAGAAAAAAAGACTCACCACTTCCAACTTCCACTGAACCCCTCATACAAGAGATCAGACAGGTTAAAGTGCTTACCACCTCTGCCTGCTGTGGTCCAAGTTTTGTAATTTCTTAGCTGCAGCAAGCAGTCCAGGGGACCAACAGTGTCCCAGACAGTAATTCTGGCTGGCTCGCCAAATAGTGGGGGGTAAAAAAATATTAATACTTTTCCTTTCACTTTCTCAGTTATTCTGGTTGGACTAGTAACCAAATTAACAAAGATAGATAACAGGAGAAAATCCAAGTTTAATGCATGCACATGGGGAATTCACATAGGCATCAAAATTCCAAAGTCAGTGAGGTAACATTGGGTACATAAGACACTTTTTGGACAAAAAAGAAAGGGGGGACAAGATATTAGATTTCAGAAGTGAGAATGGGTGATTTACAGGTAGGGGAGGAAGAGCAGAACACACATGGCAAGAAAATCCTTGTGAGGCAACTCAGAAACAAAGAAACACAGGGGTTATCTAGCTAACAGGTCCTTATAGGAAGCCCTCTTGTTTACCATACTCAATTCAAATTAGGTCAAGTTTCTCATTCTGAATCTTTTGGGGTGGGAAGGGGGAAGGGTCAAAAGTTCTTTCTGAGTCTTTTGTTTCTTTTTTTTCTTTTTTTAAATATATCTTTATTGATTTCAGAGAGAGGAAAGGAAAGGGAGAGGGAGAGATAGAAACATCAATGATGAGGGAGTCATTGATCCAGCCCACAACCCAGGCATGTGCCCTGACCGGGAATTGAACCCCGATCACCTGGATCCTAAGTCAACGCTCAACCACTGAGGCACACCTGGCCAGGCTGAGTCTTTTGTTTCTTAATAAACATCTTAAAATCAATATCCCAAAAAGCTATCTTCAAGGTGGCAAAACTTTGGTCCCTTTATTAGTAATGGCTGGAATGGCATAAAAACCAAGATAAATATCAAGCTGGTGATGGTTAGCAATTAGAAACAATCATCTATTACAAGACCACTATGAAGTATGACCCTTGGTGAGCACTATATTCTTTGCCCTTTGATTTGTCAGTCACTAGTACCTGGATTATACTATTAAGAAAGTACTATAAC